GGTGGGGGGGGGTGCTGGGAGGGTGGCAGGGCCCACTGCAGCCAGCCCTGCCTACTGCTTAACCTGCTGGTCATGGTCCCCCTTGCCGCGCTCCGCCTGTGTCCGACGGTACCACCTGGGACTGTGGCGCCTGGAGCGAATCAAGTGCCGCCCTAACCACTCCTCCCTCCACCACCTCCCCTCCACCCCCCCCCCCCCCCCCACCCACCACAAAATCCATCAGGCGCCATCGCTGCGACGGGGGCGCCCATCGTGGGCTGGCTGGCGGAGCACCTGGGGTTCAGCACCGACCCCAGCAAGCCCGGCACCGACCGGGAGCGGGCGGTTGCGCTGGGCAACGCCATCGTCATCTGCACCTGCATCCCCTGGGCGCTCTGCTGCTTCCTGTTCACGGGCTTGCACGTGACCTACCCGCGCGACAAGGCGCGGGCCTCGGTGCAGCAGCGCACGCGCAGTGGCGCGCTCAGCCTGCGCAGCGCGGACCTGGAGGCGGCGCTGCTGGAGGAGGAGGAGGAAAGGGAGGCGGCGGAGGAGGTGGGCCGCATGCACGCGGCGTCGCGCTCCCGGTCGGGCCTCATGCTGGCCTGACTTGGGAAGGGCCTGGTCCTTGGGCGCGGCCACGTGTATGCTCTCTTGCTCGAATGAGGATGGCCCAGGCGAGAATGAGCCTCGTGCAGGATGCGCACAAGCGCATCGGACGAAGAACGTCCTGTCGGTCTGCAGGGCCTCAGCTTCGAGCTTCTGCATCCACCTTGCTTTTGAGTTGTGTACTGTGTTGTAGAAATGACCCGAGGTGAACTGATTTGGAAGTGGAGATGATTGGTTGGCAATTTTGTTGGATCTCCTTACATCGGAAACATGGGGCGTCTTGCCATGAGCCTTGCAACATATGCGGCGCACGAGTCGAAGATATGTCGCTACCGGGCTTGCGCCGGTTGCACAGCTGCTTCCCGCAAGCGGGATCTGACTGGCGCAGTTGGTTGCCTCGATCGGCGAACCAGGGGTGGGGGGGGGGGAGGGCGGGAAGGGGAAGCAGGGGGGCCACCAAATGCAGTGGGACGAAGTGCACCAGCAAAAAAGCACTTGGTCAGCATCAGTATGTTGGCCGCTCCGTTCACGTCGCGGTTGACAACATGGACTCTGCAGCCCTTGTTGACACACCGCTTGGTGTCCCACACGTCCACCAGCTTCTCCTCGCCTCGGCACACTCGCACGTACTGGTGGGCATGCAGGGTGGCGTGACAGGCGCAGCACAGCTTTGATGACCTGTGCTCGTCAACCACCACCACCCTGCACACCCGCCGCAGGCGCCGCAAGAAGCGTATCCAAGGCCCCGGCGGGGCCCCCCGCATGATGCCCCCTCGGTCCTGGGCCGACCAGTTGCCCACGCCGACGATGGTAGTCATGCAGGGGGGGGCGCGGAACTGCTCTGCCTGCCAATTGATGGCCCGCTCCCTGCCGACGTATGCCTGGTGGCGCAGCTTCCGGAACGGCTTCTCGTCCCGGTGCCAGGCCAGGCCCTGTCGTAAGGTGGGGACGATCCACGCGACCCGCGACAGGAGCACCTCTGTGCTCGCTGTTTATGGGTCGGG